GCGACTTGGGCCTGCTCGCCGAGGCCTCTTGGGACACCTTGGGTGCCTCTGGGGGGACCTTTGGGCCATCTTGGGGGCCTGTGGGGGCCTCCTGGGCAGCTCTTGGGGCCGTCCCGGGGCACACTTGGGAGCCCCGGGGGCCATCTTGACGGCATCTAGGGGGGGATCGATCGAAGGAGGGACGCTCCTCAATGAGGGACACCCCCAGGAGGCCAACATGTGGCCAACATCTTTCTGTCAAATGCATGATGTGTAGCCTTCTCGCCGAGGCTTTGTGAGGTGTCGTGGGTGCCTCTGGGGAGCCTCTTTGGGCCTGTCAGGGATCTCTTGGGAGCCTCCTGGGGACATCTTGGGGGCCTTCGGAGGCCTCCTGGGGCCGTCTTGGGGCACCCTTGGGAGCCTCGGGGCCCATCTTGAAGGAGATCGGTCACGGGCCGTACTAGATTTCGCCCCCCTCCCCCCCTAGGAGGCCAAAATGATGCCAAAATTTTGGTCAAAGACATGATGTAGGCCCTCTCGCCGAGGCCATTTTGGACGCTCTAGCGACCCGCGCCCTCCCCCCCCCGTCCAGGTCCACGTGGTGGGGGTAGGAGGAGGGGTCACGCTACCCACCCGCCCGCAAGCCGTCCAGCCAACTCCCACCCGCCCTCCCAACGTACAAGTAACACCCGAGCCTGAGCACGTTCAGCGGTCGTCTTTGGATGGACAGCTACACGTTGTTCATTTCTAAGCCTTCGAAAATCCATTGCTTTTTGGGACCAAGATCCTTTCATTTCTAATTGTGCTATCCTGGGCCTCTTCCCGGCCACTAGGGGACCAGGAAGAATTCGAAACGAGCAGAATTAGAAATGAGCACAATTAGAAATGAACGACGTGTATTGGGAACCAAAGCCGACCCCAGGTGCGCGACGCTTGGGCGAGGTGCGCCACGCGTGCCAGGGGCGCCACGCGCGCCAGGCACCCCTGGGGCCCGAGCGTGCCAGGCACGCCTGGTGCGCCAGATGCCCCACGTGCTCCGAGTGCGCCAAGTGTGCCGCACACTCCAGCCGCGCCAGGTGCGCCACGTTCGGGGCACGTGCAGAGTGCGTCAGGTACGCCTGCGCACGTGACAGCACACATCGGGAAACATGTCGGCCCCCACCGTCCTCGTCGAAAACCAATGCCCATCATCGTGTCTGGTGGGCCTGCGCACAGCAGGCCACGCGTCACCACTCCCGCCGCCCCTGTCAAAAACCACTTGACAGTGATCGCGGGGTGGCCGCGCATGATTCAGATTTAGCCGCAAAGTGTATGTTGTATTTTTTTTGTCAGGGATGGCAGCCTTGCGCACAACAGGGAATGTATGTTGACACCCCCGCCGTCCCTGCCAAAACCAGTACAAAGTGCTCGCGGCGGGCCTCACGAACATGATTCAAGATGTTGCCCCAAAGTGTATTGTGTATTGTTTTTTGACGGGGATGGTGGGGGGTGGGCGCATCGGGTTGGCCGCGCATGCTCCAAATGTGGTGGCAGAGTGCGGCTTGTATTCTTTTTTGACAGGGATGGCGGAGGGGGTGGCCCGCATGTGGTCGGCATGGTTCTGGGTTGGCCGCCGGCCGGGTGGGGGAGGGGGTGTATAGTATTAGGGAACAGTGACAGTGGTAAACCCTTCCCCGAAGGGGAAGGAACGGGGGTTGGAAGACGAAGCTCCCTAAGCCGCCACGCAATGGCTGGCGGGATTCAGGCGAGCTTCTACGAAGCCTTTCATAGCGGGGCGGGGCCTCTGCTTACTCATTCGACGCTGTCCTCCCCCCCACTTCCGGAGCACCCCTGGTCAGACAGACACCCACCGGACCATACAAACACCCAGTCGGCAACAGAAACGCAATTCTCTCGGAGGAAGCATGGGGAGGAGGCGCAGGCGGACGATGGCAGTTTCGTGAGGACGTGCTCAACATGGGGAGGAGGAGGAGGGAACAGGGAGAGGGGGAAGACAGAGAGAGAGAGAGGCGGAAACATGGACAAAGGCAGAGGCAGAGAGAGAATGAGAGAGACAGAGAGAGAGAGAGAGAATGAGAGAGACAGAGAGAGAGAGAGAGACAAAACAAGAACATATGGAAAGAGAAAGAGAGGGAGGGAGGGAGAGAGGGAGGAATGGATGGAGGGAGGAGAGGACCCCGTGGCCTGCTCGCAAAAGCTCGGAGGCTCTGGACGCGGGCGCGCATTCCACCTTCCTTGCGGGCAAGGGCGCCAGGAGGGAGGTGGGAGGAGGGGGGGGAGGAGGGAGGGAAGGAGGAAAGACGGGTCGGGGGGACGAAGGAACAAGGAACGAACGACCAGGAAGGGAAGGACCCGGGAAGAAAGGACAAATAGGCCAGAAGAACGAGCAAGGGACGAGGAAGGAGTGAAGGAAGAGGATGAACAGGAGCAAGGAACTAGGAATGATGATGATGATGATGATGATGATGATGATGATGATGGTGATGATGATGATGATGATGATGATGATTATGATGATGATGATGATGATGATGATGATGATGATGATGATGATGATGATGATGATGATGATGATGATGATGATGATGATGATGATGATATGATGTGATGATGAGATGGATGATGATGATGATGCTGTGATGATGATGATGATGATGATGATGATGATGATGATGATGATGATGATGATGATGATGATGATGATGATGATGATGATGATGATGATGATGATGATGATGATGATGATGATGATGATGATGATGATGATGATGATGATGATGATGATGGTGCTGAGGAGGAGGAAGAGGAGGAGGCAGGATGGAGAACACACGGCGATGAGGGAAGGGAGGCCGGATGCGGCTGAGGGGGGGATCGATGAAGAGAAGGACGAGGGAGAGGCATTTGAATGGCCATCTGGCTCTGTCGGAAGTCAGCGGGGGGTCTTTGGAGCAGTTTGAATCCTTCTGGGTGACTTTTGGGGGGTTTTCCAGAAGAAGTGGAGGATGAGAACGAGTAGCAGCAGGCCAGCAGGATGAGGAGACGAGAGGAGGAAGCAAGAAGAGGGGAAAGACGAAGAAGGAGCTGCCGCATTCATCGTGATGGCTCGTCGCTTCCGCCGCCACCGCCCCAGTCCCAGCCGTGCGCTTCAGGGGTTGCGGAAGAACCAAGGAGTAGGTAAGGGCGAACGAAACCTTGGCCGCTGCGTTTGTGCACGCTAACACACCGAGAAAGATGTGCCAAGCCTGCTGGACCCTATGACTCACGAAGGCCTGCTAGGTCCACGTCGACTCGTGTGCGGATTTGCAGGGAGAAACTCTTCGACACGAGCTGGAAGGAGGAAGAGGAGGAGAGGAGAATCGTGTGCGCACGAGCACGAGGAGAAGGCAAAGGAAGGCGCGCGGCGGCCATTGTTCCTGACAGTGCCCTCTCTCATATCCTGCTGCTTCTGCCCCGAGGTGTCCCTGCATCATCCTGCACATCCTCCTCGTCCTCCTCGTCATCCTTCCTCCTTCCTCTGCTCCTCGACTCTCCTATCTTCTTTCGGCCTGGCGCCGCCAGAGTTGGTCCCGCACACCTTTTCCAGGTGGGGGCGGCCGGGCAAGCGGGAACAGATCTGGCCTCACTTGAAGCCAAGGCGACATCATTGCAGAGCAGACGCGGAGGGCGGAGGAGGGCCATGAACAGGCAAAGAAGTGGGTCGGCCATGCGCCGAGGGGGGTAGTGGTAGGGGGGAAGGCTTCTTAGAAGCACCCTTGGTTATTAGAAGGCGCGGGCCTTCTCTACACATGTAAGGCCAACTCATTCTAAGAAGTAGCCCCCTTCTAAGAAGCCTTCCCCCTCCCCCTTATCCCCCTCTGCGCGCCGCCAACTGGGGGGGAGTTGTGCGCGCCAAGCGCGCAGAGTAGGCAAACATCGGCCCCCCGACCTTCCCCGGGGTCCGTAGTGTGACCAAAAATGTTCGAGGATAATCCGGCCGTGGCGACGAGCTGCCTCTTTCGGCGGCGAGCGAGGGGGGGAAGGAGGAGGAGGAGGAGGAGGAGGAGGAGGGGGACGAGGAGGAGGAGGAGAGAAGGAGGAAGGGGAGAGGACGAGGGGAGGAGGAGGAGGAGGAGGAGGGGAGGAGGAGGAGGAGGAGGAGGAGTCCCGGGAGGAGGAGGAGGAGGGAGGAGGAGGAGGAGGAGGAGGAGGAGGAGGAGGAGGAGGAGGAGGAGTGTTCGGCATGGCCAAAATCGGCATGGCGAGGGGGGGAAGAGAGAAGGAAAAGGCCTTCTCAGAAGGCTCGGAAGTCCCCCAGCCTTCTGAGATGCTTTTTTAAGCCTTCCCCGAAGACACAAGGCGCAAGGGCCTCTGAGAAGTCCCGCCGCCTTCTGAGAAGGCTTGCTCCTTCTCACTTCCCCCCCTCGCTCGCAGCCGACTCCTGGAGAAATGGGCAGGAACTTTGGCTTCGCGTGTCGCACCGCCAGTTCTCGCCCCTCGTGCTTCGGCGCGATACGTTACAGTGGAGGCCCATGCCGAGGAACACCCTGCTCGCCTCCAGGGTGGCCGGGGTTTCTTCGGTTTCGAGGGTTGTGCGATGGAAAGCGTGACCTTACCGCACCACAAACCATTGGACGTCCTGGGGTCTCAGGGTTGGGTTTCTTGTGGAAGGTCTCTTGTGGACTGGCCTCCACGGTATCCACGGCCTGGTCACCAGGCGTCCACGTCCCGAGCGTTTCCCAGCCTCCCTGCCGCGGAGCGGAGCGACCTGCTGTCCGCCCGCAGGACAAAGCGTGTCGGCGGGGCCGCCGCCGCGATACGCTGAGCAAGAGTTCCTGACTGTAGCCTTGGGTCGGGCATGCCCCTCTTCAGGATAACCGTTCAAACATAGTCAAAAAGGTATGAGGACGACTGTTCGATTATCTTGAGCTGCTGGTGAACATGCTGAGATATGTCTAAACATTGTCCCGCACAATCCGCCTGGTGGAGGACATGCCCAACCTGACCGTATCCTCTCCTCCTTCACATGTCCACTCCCCTGGCAGACGCTTGAGACGCAGCAGAAGCAGGCCGAGGAGCGGATGCTCCAGCTGGAGCAGGAGCAGGCCTGGCTCATCGAGCGGTTTGCCGAGAGAGAGGAGGACATCCTCCACGTCTGCCCTCCTGTCCATTCTCCTACTTCCTACTCCGTTCTCCTCCCGCCTCCTCGTCTTGTTCCTCCTCCTTCTCAACCACCCTCTTCCTTCTGGGGGGGGGGGGGGGGGGGGGCAGCCTCCTCATACCCTCCCCTCCCCTCCCCTCCCCTCCCTCCTCCTCCTCTTCCTCCTCCTCCGCCGCCCTCGTCATCCACATTCCTCCTCCTCCTCCTCCTCCTCCTCCTCCTCCTCGTCCTCCTCCTCCTCATCATCATCCTCCTCCTGGCGACTGCAGCAAAACATATACACATATTCTCTGAACGAGAGCAACAGGGAAGCCTTACTGGGCATGAGTCAAACTCTAGGGAAACAGCCGAACCGAGTCCGACCAGGCCTCACGCCGAGGCGTCTTCCTCGTCCCCCTGCTCCTCCTCGTGTTCCTCCCTCCTCTCCCGCAGTTTCTTCTTCCTGCCCTCCCTTATCTTCTTTCGCCTCATCTTCCCTGTTCCCCTCCCTCCTCCCTCATCTGTCTCCTCCTCTTCCTCCTCCACTTTTCCATATACATAACTTCTCCCTGTCGCACCCCGAGGCCAGTTTTTAGGGCGGACTTCCTCACCATTCATGACCCTGAAGCTTAAACGTTGGCAACAACTTCACATATGGAGGGCGGGTGGTTTTCAACATGTGACTCTCGCCTTAGCGCCGCGCACATTCGTTTTCAAGTATTTGCAAGAGCTTCACGGATTGAGGGCGGGTGGTTTTCAAATTGTGGTTATTGCATTAGCGCCGTGTACATTCGTTTTCAATAATTGCAAAAGGTTCACGGAGTGAGGGCGGCTCCTTTTCAAAATGTGGTTCTCGCCTTAGCGCCACGCCCATTCGGATTAAACTATTTGCAAACGGAGTCAGGGCGGGTGATGTTGAACATGTTCTTCCGACGAGGCAGTTCCCTCAGTGGAAATGAGCTGTTACAGTCAACCATGATAGTAAGTATGGGGCAACTTGGCCAGGGTACCCTTGCATCCTTGCCCCTTTCGGCGCATCCTTGCCAACTCTCGCTGGCCAGCCTTTCAGGGTACCCTTGCATCCTTAGGTTGCGCGGCGCGACGCCCCTGGGGGCCAATCCTGACGGATGTTGGATGGGCAGGGTACCCTTGGCCATCCTCGGGTCCGGTGTTGCCCTCCTTACATTCAAGGGGCCGCTGCCCCAAGGATGCGCGACGCGCAGTGTATGTGTGCTCATCCTTTGGCACATCTTCCTTGACCTCCCAGTCATGGGTGGGAACGGCCCTGAGGATGCTGGATGGGCAGGGTACCCTTGGCCATCTTCGGGTCCCGTGTTGCCCTCCTCACATTCAAGGGGCCGCAGCCCCAAGGATGCGCGACGCGCAGGGTACTTGTGCTCAGCTTTGGGCACATCTTCCTTGCCCTCCCAGTCATGGGTGGGAATGGCCCTGAGGATGCTGGACGGGTGGGGTACCCTTGGCCATCCTAGGGCCCAGTGTTACCCTCCTTACATTCAAGGGGCCGCGGCCCCAAGGATGCGCGACGCGCAGGGTACTTGTGCTCAGCTTTGGGCACATCTTCCTTGCCCTCCCAGTCATGGGTGGGAACGGCCCTGAGGATGCTGGATGAGCAGGGTACTCTTGGCCATCCTCGGGCCCAGCTTTTGCCGTTCTTGCATTCAAGGGGCCGCGGCCCCAAGAATGGCAGCGCGTCAAAGCACGCTTACATCCTTCGGAATTCGGCCGCGCTCCACACGGAAAACCTCAACATAACGTTCCAAGGCCTATATATATATCCTTACCGCACGTCCTTATTATCCTGGTGACGGTATAAGAGCCTATGAACAGGGAGCTTGGAGGGAGGGTTTATTCCAACGTAGTTGATGACCGTTGGGTTTGCACTGGTCCTCCTCCTCCTTTTCCTCCTCCTCCTCCTCCTCCTCCTCCTCCTTCTCCTCATCCTATTATGGCTCCTCCTCCGCCTCCTCCTCCTCCCCCTCCTCCTTCTCATCCTCCTCCTCCTCTTCCGCCTCCTCTTCCTCCTCCTCCTCCTCCCTTCCCTCTGGCAAGCTGGGCGGTTTTCCAGGCCAAGTTCTGGTGGCCGCCCCCCTGGGCTTCGGCGTCGGCCAAAGGCGCCGAATGGCACCCGGAGTCGTCCGTCGGTGGTTGTCCAGGCCACTTGTGTAGTCCAAAACCCGGATAGCACGGCGCCCGAAGGGCGTGGAAAGGCCTGGCGAAGCACTTTGGGGGGACCTGGAGAGAGCGTCCGAAAGACCTTCTGGAGAGCTTCTGGGCACGCGTATTGGGAAACGGTTACAAAAAGCCTGCCGGAACACGCTGCAACCTCAAGCAAGGCGCTCCAGGGAGCCTTGCCCGCCGCCAGAACGACGTCCGGGGCTACCCTCCAGCTTCTTAATCTGAGACCTTAGTTCTCCAAGGAGCTATCCGGGAATGCGCATGAAAGCCGCAGTTCGGTTCGATCCGTTTCGGTTCGGCAGGCTCGGCTCGCGTAGCATGGCGACTCGGTTCGGCCAGCTCGGCTCGTAGCGCAGACCGTCTCGGTTCGGCCATCGCGGTTCCGCCGGTTCGGGCGTGGTCTATTCGGCCTGTTCGTTTCGGCCGGTTCGGTTCGGCCACGTGGGTGGTGGCGGCCAGGTCGATGTTTTCTAGGTAATCCCTCCTGCTCGTCCTGCTCCTCACCCCTCACT